ATCGAGCGGAATAGAAATGCATTGCTCGCAAAGGCATTGTTACGCGGGCAACTTTCATGCCGTCGGCTTTTTCCTTCATGTTTCCCTCCTTTTTTTTTTATTTTTCAACTATTCGACAAAGTGTTTCTTCTGGTTCTATTTTTGCGAGGTTTTGTAGGTTTTCGATCCGCTTCACTTTTAACTAACTGTTTCGCATGCCCGCTTTTACAAAAATAAAGAATGAAAAGAAAGAATTATATATAACGCAGCGGAAAATGTACGAACTATTCAGTACATATAAAAAGATCAGTAACATATAAAAATATATATCTGTAATATTTTATATTTTAATATGTTGATATATTCAATATTTATAATTTCAACTAATCTCCGCCATGAGTGTTAATTAAATAATCTCGCTAAATATTTGCACACATATTTAAACAATAGATATTTAACAACTTTACGTTTACTTGAGAAATTAAAAATAATTTTTATATTATAATATAAGTACACATATGTCAATAGCAAAAATTAATTGGCAATAATGGATAATGACACAAATAATTTTACATATATTTAAAAAATTAAAACAATCGAGAGAGAAAGATGCGTGATTTTCATTTGAATCTACGTTACAGATTAACGTACATCATAAAGAGGTTAATGTTTCGATATGTATTATGCTGCTGAATTTATAAAATCATTTTTATAAGATTTAGCAAAATAATGTCTTTTATCATAAAATTTCATTGTGCGTTAATAAAAAATCTAAAGTTATCAAAGCGGAATTTCGCACAGGATCAGTGTGGTTGCGGGAATAAAAAAAGCTGGGGGTTTATTTTGAGAAAATTAGCATTCAAATGGACAGGATACAACAAATACGGGCTTTATACACATGATGTCATAGATTACACCGATCCTGTAGTATGCGAAGCACTACGTCGATTACCAATGGATATGTTGGACGCTAGGAATTTCAGGTAATATATCATAGACTTATTGTTAGTATGGATTCTCTCTCAGTACTAGAGAAAACAAGATTCTCTTTCTCTACATAGTTCTAGAAAACAAAAAAATATAAACAGTATGTATGTACATCATAAATATTTTTGTACGTAAAGTTATGAATTCACAAAAGCTTGAAAAAGAGAGAAAAAGTAAATGAAATGTTAAGATTTAATATATTACAATCATAAATAATATAATATATTATACATTAATTTTTATTATTAATTTCATGTATCATGTATTCTGCTTTTTTTGTAACATCTAATTATGCTATAACATAGTCTGACATAAAATACATCAAAAAGTTTCATCACGTATTACGTGGAGTCGGTGCCACTATGCAACTCATTAGAGCACATTGAGCACGACATGGGATGCAAAAGTGTTCTCCCGCGTTTTAAATAATTCCGACTGTCGTGTATCACGTCTTGGACATTCGCTAAATTGCATTTACGCGCACCTAATCTAAGATATACTCGTATATACATATATATATATATATATATATATATATATATATATATATATATTACATGACAAAGGTAAGATGAAATATATATATATATATTGTACGAACTATTCAGTAACATATAAAAATATATATCTGTAATATTTTATATTTTAATATGTTGATATATTCAATATTTATAATTTCAACTAATCTCCGCCATGAGTGTTAATTAAATAATCTCGCTAAATATTTGCACACATATTTAAACAATAGATATTTAACAACTTTACGTTTACTTGAGAAATTAAAAATAATTTTTATATTATAATATAAGTACACATATGTCAATAGCAAAAATTAATTGGCAATAATGGATAATGACACAAATAATTTTACATATATTTAAAAAATTAAAACAATCGAGAGAGAAAGATGCGTGATTTTCATTTGAATCTACGTTGCAGATTAACGTACATCATAAAGAGGTTAATGTTTCGATATGTATTATGCTGCTGAATTTATAAAATCATTTTTATAAGATTTAGCAAAATAATGTCTTTTATCATAAAATTTCATTGTGCGTTAATAAAAAATCTAAAGTTATCAAAGCGGAATTTCGCACAGGATCAGTGTGGTTGCGGGAATAAAAAAAGCTGGGGGTTTATTTTGAGAAAATTAGCATTCAAATGGACAGGATACAACAAATACGGGCTTTATACACATGATGTCATAGATTACACCGATCCTGTAGTATGCGAAGCACTACGTCGATTACCAATGGATATGTTGGACGCTAGGAATTTCAGGTAATATATCATAGACTTATTGTTAGTATGGATTCTCTCTCAGTACTAGAGAAAACAAGATTCTCTTTCTCTACATAGTTCTAGAAAACAAAAAAATATAAACAGTATGTATGTACATCATAAATATTTTTGTACGTAAAGTTATGAATTCACAAAAGCTTGAAAAAGAGAGAAAAAGTAAATGAAAGAGAAAGAGAGTATTACCCTCATTTTTTTCCTTAACATTTTATTAAATAGCTATATCGCGATTGCAAATTTGATCTCATTAAAAATTAAAATTCGAAATTAAAATTTACAATCTTAGCAGTTATTCAGCCAACGTCGTATATTACGTTTTTAAACTTCGCAGCTACTTGTAGATTCTTTAAGATTTATCTCGGATATGAATGGTTGGCTTGACGAGAATGTCGTCGGATGCGTCAGCGTATTGCAGGACGCTTCAAAGACTTGCTAAGGCACCACTTTTATTAAGTGCTAAATTCGCTTAACGAGGTCTTAATTTGAGACCCGGTAGTCAGCGCTCGTATTCTACTTTTGATACCTGTTTGCGACGGGTAGTTTTATTTCCGGCGAGTACGCTTTTCTAAAATTGTTTTTCTTTTTCTGTCTACGAACTAGAAAAGAGAGAAAGAGAGAGAGACAGACATTCTTGTGCCTTTTTTTTATTACAAGCTTTAGGAGTAATCGCTTTGCGACTATATACGTAGCCAATTTTCAATTAAGGTTCTTCAGTGGTTATCAAATAAAGACTTTAACAGTTTTGTACGCTTTGCAGGCTCATACGTGCTATACAACTGAGTTTTCTGAAGATACATCTGCCGAAAGAAAAGTGGATCACATATGACCAGGATTTGGAATATCGATACCTTGATCCGTACATGAAGGAGATCGAGGCTGAGCAAGCTGAGATAAATGAGTTTGATTACCACAATTACAGTGATAATGATTCGCCAAGTGGCAAAGTGAAATAAGAAAAAAATTCTGTGGTTCTCCCTCTCTCTCAATGTACATATATCAATAAATTAAATATTTTACATGGAATATCCTTTTAAACTAATTTTACAAATTAGTTTTTGCGAATAATTTGTTGATAAAAAAATACAATTTCTCTTCCATATAAAGAAATTTTGGATAAAGCTTCTATTTTAAAGCATTATTTTAAATTAAATAATATGATTATCTTCAATGCATTAATGTACATGCATGTTCCAGAAATAAAGTCGGTAATAAAATAATTTGTTGAATAAATGTACACACGGGATTAAAATACAAAACATTGAGAGATTTATTTTGCTGTTGCATATTAAAATTTTTCTGTATTTTAATTTTATTTGAAAATACATTTGCTTCAGATCTATACAGGTGGCAATTAAAAACTAGAAGTGTTCAACTTGCAAGTATATTGCCAGTTGTCAGAAATGCCACTTTGAGTTTACTATGAATTAAACGTGAAAGATTGATCAGTCGACTGATTCTCGAATATCAAATGCAACAGCGAACAGTTCTGCAATAGTTTGTCCATGTTATGGTTTATTTTATTTCACGACTTTTACTTTATTTATATCGCAATAAATTAAATAAATACATGCTCATTTACTTTAACCAACTAACTTTACTGAACTAATTTGATCAATCTCAAAAAACATATCTGAATGTAATGCAATTTGAAGCACTGACCGCAAATTTAAATCGTATACCGTAATGCTTTTGCTCTTCTATTTGCATCCGCATGTTACCTCGAGAAATGTATAATCCACGAATATGTTTACACGGAGTTTACGATGGATGGCAGGAAAACGTGACTTCATTTTGCATAGCAAAATAAATCGACGTCACGTATACTTGGTAACTACTGATTTTCGAACTTCCGAGCGTTGTATTTTTGCGAGCATATCGGAAAATTGTCATTTTGCGCGAAACATTGCACGAAGCATGCATAATCAACGCACACTTTATTTTCATATAAACGATCTATAGCATATCGATCTTTTCGGGATAAAATTCTCTCATTTTTGATAGATAAAAGTTTCATAATTTTGTATAATTTTTTTTTCTTTTCGTGAGTGTAAAAATGAAAGCAAGCCTGATAATCGAACCCATTTAATGTCTAATCGGAAGTAGACTAATTATTCTGTATTTTAACGTGCGGCCGCGAATATTGCAAGGTTGCATTTAGAATTTTTTTCCTGCGAGGAGAGAGATTCGAGTTAATCGCGGTAACGCACGATCGGCATTGACTTACGAGTTAAAAAGTTTGTCGCGGTGGTTCCTGCGCTCTTACTGTGAGTTAGTCGATACTTGGCAGTTCGCGTTCTGAATCCTTTATGATCTTGCGAGGCTCACGGAAATGCCTGATGAATGGAATAACGTGAAAACGCGTTTACGTTTGTCGCCGAGATATCGTATTCACCGCACGAGTGACGCGATCTTTCTCGCGAACGGTTTTGCATAAATCGCGAATAGGCATATTATGTCATTATAATTTCTTTATAAATTTTGTTCAAATTATTAGTAATTAAATAAATGAAATTAATTTATTGTTAATTAATTCTTACCATTTTTTTACCATGTTTGTTATTATATATAAGCGTGCTTCAAAAATTAACACCATGTACCCCACTTCAACAACTACATCCGCAATCATTATAAGAAAGTTTATAAACCAATATGTAGCGTTTAAACATGAAAATACAAACGAGAACGAATGGACGACTGAATAATTAATTACATAATAAATTAAAAATAAAGCTTACGTAGTAGTCTTTAAATTAGTCCTCAGATTATTGCTTTAATTTTGCGAAATAAGGTGATATTTTCTTCGTACTTTTTGTTCCTTTCTTTCCTCTCTTCTTCTGCAAAATGACGCAAATATGAGTAATTTTCTAAAGTGCCGAACAAGAAAATTCGCGCGCTTATTCAGCCAGAAACAACGCGGAACGATGTTAATTCCCGGTTCCCTCGGACATTTAATACGCGCCACGCTTTCAACGACCGGAACTTCACTAAGGCATCTCTGAGAGCGCAGCGTTTCATTTGATAACTCGATAGCTCTAACGACGACGCCTAGGATAATCGTGCTGACAACGTTCGCTTCAATTGCGTTCGCTTCATTTGATTTGCCTCTTTGTCCGGCTTGCGTCAAGCGCGAGTCATGTCAAATTAAGGCAGCTATCGATTCTCTCAAATATTTCGGCTAAGTGACTTTAGCCCCTTAGACGTAAAGAGATATCAAAGGAAAGAAAGAGATATCGATAGGTCCTGATATTCCAAAAGCATCAGAAGAGATTGTAATAAGTACCTTTACCTTCTCTAAGAGAGAAAAAGAGGAATTATAAATTATGAAGATAATTAAGATTTAATATCGCATTTTTTTTTAACGACAATGTCAAAATGTCAATATTGTCCAAATTATAAATGATTAAAAAAAGAAGATAAAATTCTTTTCCGGATTAAATTTTAAACCAAAAATTATATTTTTATTAGTTTATTTCAAAAATAAAGTTTACTTTAATAAAATATTAATTTAATGCTCAGTTATAAAATATAAAATTTTGAAAATAACTATTTTTTTTAAAGAATAGTTGATTTCAAAATAAGCAGAAAGATTAGCCGTTAAAAAATAATGCTCGACAAATTGTAGAATATCTTATAGTAAATTCTTCATTCTTGATCAAGTAATATTTATCGAGTTTTGGCTTTACAAGAAAACTTTAGTTTTGTTTTAGCGTGAAATAGATAGTTATCTATTTTAAGTTTATTTATACAGTTCAAATCTATCATTAATTTTCACTAAGAAACTCTCTACGTTGTGGACATGGGTACAAAATTGCAAAGATGATAGCAAATTATACAATCGATTCTAGAATATATAACGCTATTTTTGCTTGAGATAAAAAAACAATTACTGCATTCATCAACACACATGTCCGTTCTATACACAAACTATTTCTTCATAAATACTTTTGTTGACTTGTAAAATATCGACGCAATAAATATAATTTTTTTTCCGTTTTCTATTATTTTAATCGAAAATCGATTTTCTCGCGAGAATAATGATCCACATTTGCATAAGGGGTAGCTTATCTTATCTCAGACAAAATAAATTTTATGTGGGCTGAAATCGCAAAACATCTGATTAGAGTTTCCATCTGACGCGAAAAGAGAAATACCACATATCTTTTTTTACACCAACGGATGACTGCTTAGGGGATTGCGTGACTAGGGGAGAATCTTAATTTTATCCGTGTTAAAGAAAAAAGATCTCTGAACATTATTCGGCCGTGTTCTTCTAAGTAAATAAGCTCTGCTTATTTATTTCGAATTGTTTTATATTATTAAGTCCTAAAAACATTATGCAAAGAGCAAATTATAATTTATGACACTTTATAAACTTATGCGTATATATATATAGTACAAACTACATAAAAATGCTTTTTTATATCTTATAACCAATGTTGTTTCTGATGATTTTTCATATTGTAAGTATTTTCTTGATAGTGACTTTATGAGTTTAGGATGACAGAGATGAATAGCGCGTTTCATGAGAATATGCGAAGCCGTTTTATTGCAAAAATGCACCCAAGTTACGGCCCTTGAACTAACTCGCTTAGCATTCGGATGCTCTTGAAGTTTTGGTCTCACACGAGAAAATACACGCTTTTCCGATGCTCTCCGTTAGCATTGCGCGACGACTAACTTTTAGGGCATCTAATTTAAATAAATAGAACTAAAAGGATAAAAGAGAGCCCTCGCAAATACGATGACGAGCAAATAAACTGCTTTGTGGAGAAACATTTTCCGGCTTTGCCAAAATGTCATTTTTTTTTAATTGCATGCGAATAAAAATAGTCAATTTTCTCGCGCATTCCGCGAAATACGAAATTTAATTATCGATAGTAACATTTAGTCGGTAGTGTTATTATTACAAAGGAATGTCATTAGTGTTTGATACTATTGAACCGCTTACCCATAGTTATCGCTCACTTTCATCTCTCGTCAATTCGAAAATGAAATTTACATTTAGGCTAACGATAAGTTATGCGAAAGGCGCGTTGAAAAATTATCTATTCGTTTATTTATTGTTAGCACTATTTTGTATAACAAATCATTAAAACTGTTACATCTAATTGTCACGTCGATTAATTTATCAGAAAATGTACTATTAAAGCTATAAATTATATATTTTATAAATAATTTGTACTGATTATACATGCTATTATTAACCGTTGCATAAACTATTAAAAGTTTTCATTAATTAATGATTAAGGCAGGCATCAATATTATTTAAAAATTTTTCCTTTTATTTCTTTTAATTTATTTAAACGTTTTATGCCTAAGTAGTATATTTTTATGATCCATTAAAAAAATATACTATTAGTATATATTATATTACTATAGTAAATATGATATTATAATTATTATATTTATATATATCTCACTTCTATTTTTAAATTGTATTTCTTGTTCAATATATATTTATATCTGTATGTGTATTTTTAATTCATTTTTAATATAATAACGTTATTTTATTGTGTGCAATAGATAAGATAATTATAAGGAAGAGCATGTTTGCAATAAACGTTAAAGCATTTTCAATCATCGTATTATGAAATTTACAACTACTTGAAGTTTGTTGAGCGTTTCAAGTTTCAAACACTTCAACGACTAACAGATCAATTTCACGGGTTAAGTGGCCGAACGACTTTTCGGTAACAAGACAACAGTCGATGGCTGGGAACATTGCGGATATAACTTGATAAACTTTGATATCCGCAACAAGATCAAAGATAAATTTTGGCATGCTGCAATCAGCGATTTTGAGATAGATATTGATTGGGATAAGACTTACATATATATGATATTTATATGATCGTAAACAAAAAATTATTTATTATTAATATTTTAAATACTTACATAATGTATCTTGCATTTTTGTAGAATTTTTGAATAAATATTTTATATGATACATAAATCTTGTATTATTTATCGATATATGTATATTGACATATATGCAAAATGCATAATAAAATTAATTTATTCTGTTATGTAATATCATACATATAAAGCAAAAGATAAGGTCAGATTATATTTTTATCCGCAACAATTCTAGAAAACACTGCATGCTTTTAAACTCACCCACATGTAGCAACGAATATTTTTCACGCGTCACGTGTAAGAATATGTTTTTCAACGGCGCGCGTTCTTTGGTGTTGCCGGATTTTAGAGCTTTTAGTGTCACGGAAATAGCATTAGATGTATCACTAAACATACGTATAGTGAGAATGTATAACACAATACCATACCAAAATATATTTTACTGTTTCCGTTTCTCTTTAACATACTTTGAGATTGAGGATTCTTCAAGTTGCTAAGCTTGTTATATTTGAAAAAATTCATTTCATTTGTGCTATTAATTGAGTAAGAGCATTCGATTATTAAATAGTTCACAATAGAAAACAGTTTACAGATTACTGGTTTTCTGCACATTTTTATTAAGTTTTACAATTTGATATCGTTCATGTATATGTAACAAATATATATGTGTTTAAAAAAACGTATTTCTTACGTTAAAACGTAAATTAAATGTAGTTCTCGGCAAACTATGGTTATCAATATTTATTATTCGCTGTTTAATTTATGAAATAAATTTGTTTTAGACTTGTTATTTTGTAGATTTATTAACTGATGAATAGCGTTAATAATCAGAACCAGATAATATAGTTATACCGAATGATTCTCAATGAGTTCCTTTGTTCTTGTAGTGCAATAAAAGAACGTTTTACTCGATAGCTATTATAATATTGTAATAATATTATAAATATATTAAAAATATTTGATATAATTTTCCAATGATTACTAGGATATTAATAGAAATAAAAAAAATTGGATTTATTTTTGGTATTACCTATATTAAATAAAAATATGTGTTTTTGAAGTTGGATAATTATTTTATCTTTGCTATACATACACGTGTTACACATTAGTTCAAGATCTCTTTTTACAAAATTAAAAAATAAATAAATAATAGCAATAAATTTTATCATATTTTATCTATTTAAATTTTATTATTTTTATGTATTCTTTTTTTTTTTGATATTTTCGATATAAAGATACTAAAATAGTTTTCAAAATAAATCGACTGAAATAGAAGAAACTTTCTGAACGTTTACTTCGCTTTCGCAAGCTGTTCGAATTCCGCTGTCAATTTGGCGCGCGTTCGCCAATAAATCGACAAGACAAACATATCTTAGGACATTACGTGATAGACGAGAGTGTCGACGACGACACTATTGTTCTGCAAGGTGTTGTCCAAGTCTTGTCTATTCTTTGTCAAACTTTGTCGTAGGACGAAGATGCACACCGTCGAAATATATGCTTCTATGATCTTCTATTGAGAGCCATAAAGAAGTGACAAATACAAATTCTGAGTTTGCAAAAGTTTTGTCACGTCTACGTCTGTCTTCTTTAGTTTCCGAAGAAAATGTAGAAGTGAACGCAATTAAATATTTAAATATATTTAGAACACTTATACCAAAAGTCTCAAATAGAAGATCACAAGTTTATATATGCTTTTATATAGGTATGCGCCATATATCTACTTAGTTGAACTAAATTTGTGTCGTTGCTTTGTAAAATCTGAGAAAGATTATATTATCGGAAAAACACATGTGTAAATCAGAAGACAGACTGAGAAATTCTATGCAACTTGACGGGAAGACATTGTTACATTCTTATTTTAGCTTGTTAAAGAAAATTCTTTTGTCTAGCCACGCGAAAGAAAGAAGTTAACAATAACGAAATCGTAAATCAGACAGTTATTCAATACGTTATATTCACGAGCGTGAAAAATCTTAGCGATTCGCGAAAATAAACGTCTGTGCTTTGCATAAAGATTGATAAACGAACGACTTCTTCGCAAAGTCGATAAATAGCACTCCATCGTTTTTTTTTTTTAAGGATATTCCACGGTAATGTATGTATATTTCGCTTTTTTCCCAATTTTCTGTTAAATTTTCGATAATCTTTAAGTTGATCATAATGTCGATAATTAGATAATTGATAAGGATCTCGTGCCCAGCAAAGTTTTCCAGCATAACGGATATCATATGGCATCTGCACGTTAAACGATGTTATTCATGCACGAATAACATCGTACATAAATAATCTTTCAGCACATTCGAGAATATTCAAATAGTTGATCGAATTAATTACGATTATTATCATATAAAAGGATCTTAAGACACAAAGAGCCTAGGATGAATGTGCAAATGTGAAAATTGTATTGTTGTTCACTGTAAATATTTCTAATCTTGTAATATAATAAAAGTATGTTGGGG